GCTCTACGCCAAGTGGCTAGTGGAATATGTTATGGTCAGGAATGAAATAACAGGGCATACATACAAGTAAGTATCTATCTAAATTTTTGTATTGGGTAAGTAGAATATTCTTTTTGCAGGGAGCTGGCATAAGACTGGTCTGCTTTTTTCTTGGGCCTCTATTTCCAAAGGTACTGATGCTGAAGGGCGTGGAGGTTTATTTGGTTTCGGGTGCTGGATAGGGTTCTTGTGAAAGCAAACTGAGCTTTTCATTTGCATGTGTTTCTTTAGTCACCTAAAAACACACAAACTAATTGCAGACATGTAGGAAAAAGTAAACTGATTGCCAAGTGTATCCAAAGGAAATGGTTTTGAGACCAAACAAAATAGTCAGTTAGAACTTTCCATGTACCAAGCACAAATGGGAATTGCACCAAGGCATGACATGAGCCAGAAGAGCATTGAGAAATTATCATGTAATTATGGAACTCTAGGCATAGAACGGGAATGAAATAGAGTGTTAGAAACAGGTATGTCTGTGGTACGAGATGGGCACAAGAAGTTAGATAAATCATGTGGTAGATCTTAGTTACTTTACAGTAACCACACTGCAATTTGGTTTTGCATCTCTTTATTTGTATAAACCTGCCATAAGTTATGTCTGTAGCAAATTGTTTCAATTCACCATGCCAGCTTGTTTGTAGTTAAGTGAAGGGTTGGGATTCTAATTTTTGGATATTGTTCCATTTTTGTAATGGAGCTAGTTAGATTCAGCTGACCTGTGTTTCATAGTTTCATAGTGCTTAGGGTCAGAAGGGACCTGAACAGATCATCAGGTCTAACCCCCTGCTTCGGGCAGGAACGAGTGCTGGGGTCATAACACCCCAGCCAAATATCTGTCCAGCCTCCTCTTGAAGACCCCCAAGGTAGGAGAAAGCACCACCTCACCTGGGAGTCCATTCCAGAGCCTGGCAGCCCTAACTGTAAAGTAATGTCTCCTGATGTCCAGCCCGAACCTTCTCTGTGCTGAAAGATGAAACTTTGCTGGGTCTGACTGAAGTGCAGAATATCCTCATTTAAGTAAATCTACCAGTAATTTGAAAATATTTGCAGTTATTTTATTAGCTATTGTGCTATGAAAGTAGTTAGAGATGTTGCAAAGAGATAATGTGACTTGATGAAAAACATAGTAAGTGTTCAACACGTCAACTTACACAGATAAGGTGTTAACCAGAAACTGAAATTTCAGACTACTGTAAGCAAATGTAATTGGGCTGCTACCAAAACTAGTAGCTGGAACCCAGATACAGCAATAAAACATTGTTTGAATTCTGCCCCACAAAGATGGGGTGGGTTGGAATGCTTCTATGCCCTGCGTGTGGAACAGAAGACACGAAAGCTGGCATTTAATTAATTGTATATATTATATTGTCTGTTGCTGTAGATAGCACAAATCTGAGACCAAATGGCATTAAGTCCTTGCTCCGTCTGCTGGGACAAAAATAAAAAGAATAGATTTGTTGGTCACTGTGTCAGTAAGAGTGAAATGCTTAAAAAGTTAAATATGGGTGTTCAGTGCTTAGAGCATATACAGCTCCCCCAATTCTAAGTCTTCAGAGAAGAATTAAATTTGAGAGTGAATGACTTTGACCATAGTATTTTATTTGTCTTCAGGTTTCCATGTGGTAGGTGGCTTGGAAAAGGGATGGATGATGGCAGTTTAGAAAGGATCCTTGTTGGAGAGCTACTAACTTCCCACACTGAGGCAGATGAAAGGCAGTGCAGAACCCCACCACTGCAGCAATCACCAAGTATGATAAGGAGACTTGTCACCATCTCGCCAAACAACAGACCAAGTAAGTTGGAAAGGAAGTACAGCACTGCTGACAATAATCTCTTGCCAGTTAAGAGCCCTACCAAATATAAACCTGGAGTGCTATTTTTGTGCCTTCTACATACTCTTCTCCTTGCCTCAATTGCCAAGTTCATGAATGAGACAAAGGATTGCTGTCAGCGCTGTCCTGTGGAAGTATAGATATAAACTGCAAATTGTATTTGGTTGCGTGCACTTTTTTTCTGGTGAACATGTTTATGCCTATCTTGTCCTTCCTGGTATACTATTTTGTTTCAGTTGGTTCCCACACATGCCCTGATCTATAGTAATCCTACGAGCATCACCTGGTTTTTAAGGTTCCTAAATTTGGTCACTATAGCTCCAGTTCATCTTTTCCATCTGTTTCAAAACTTGCTATAAAAATGTTTATAACAAAATGTAAAATTTTTCTGTTATTTTTGGGTTTGAAATTGCTTATTTTTTGGAAGATTTTCGATTTGACAAACTTGTTGAACACTTAAATGCATGTGAAAAGGTGATGGATGGCTGGGGCTAAAAAGCAGAGTCCACTGAAACAGATAGAACATATTAAAAAAATGCAGATTTCTCTTGTTGTGTCCTAATAGCATACCTTAATCCTGGTCTGTAGGCATTATCACAAAGCTTTTATGAAGTACCTGAAAGTGGTATGTGTTTTTTATTTTTATTTTTTGTGTAGAATTAAACACAGGTCAGATACAAGAAGCTATTGGTGAAGCAGTCAATGGCATTGTCAAGCATTTCCACAAACCTGAAAAAGAGGTGAGCATTTCTTTGTGGTGCAATAGAACTGGGTATTCATCTGTTACCTCTCAAATGCTTATGAAGTGGTTTATATTTCAGTAAGTTTTGAACTGAAAAGGACCAGAATTTGTCTGCAAGAGGGAGAAATGCACCCAATAATAGAAATCTAAACTGGTAGACTGTGACCGTAATCTGGAATATTACGCTTATGTATGTAATTGTTGCTGTTAATGGAAGTAGTCTGTGTCCTGAGGCCTTATTCAACATCCTGATTATCTGAATTCACATTAAGGACCAAATTCTATCCAAAACTTATTTCTGTCCTCTCAAGCATTTGCGTGTTGTTCGTGATGCATCTTCTCCTACCTCTGTCATTTGCTGCTTAAAAAGATATCACACAAAGGGCCAGCATTTGGTGAAGAGTTCCCTGTTAATAACACCCATAACTTTCCTCCTATTTTCCAAAGAGGGGACCTTTATATGTCTCACCCAGTTTTCTTGGAACACACAGATACTATCCAGTGTTACTGAAACACTGCAACAATTCCTGTTTGATCTGGTCTGTAGCTGTTAGGAATTCCCATCCCATTTCATTTCCTACAGATCAAAAACCTATTACGATGTTCCTTTTTTTCTTTGTATCCCCAGTTGCCCAGAAAATTGTTGAAGGTAGTCAAGTATCTGGCCATTCTTTTTTATCTTGTTTTGCCAAAATTTCTGTACTGGACAATATTAGAAACATGCTCTTCAGTTTTACAGATTTGCAGTAGATGCACCTTGCATTCAGCTTACAATGACATTGCAAGGAGCAGTGTGCGCTTTTGCATTTACAAGGCTTGGTTATTCTGATTCACAGTCTGCATCGACCAAAAATTTGTTCTGAATGAAATGGTGTATTGGCTTGCTAGTTTGAGGATTGGGTGTCCTATTATGTCCACTCTGCACTCCTTGTTTTGGCTGTCTAAAATATGGAAAGTGTTGGGCAACCTAAATTCTCCTTTGCCAAGGTCCCCTGATTCAGTGCAACAGTACTTCAGCTGGTTTTCAGGCTCCGTATGCCTGAAGAAAGGTGTTTGTGCCCAAAAGCTTGCAAAAGAACAATGTTTCCAACTCTTTAGTTGGTCTAATGAAAGATATCATATTTACCTAAAGAACCTTTTCCTCTTATGTCCTTAGCCCAATGCGGCTATAGCAAATAACTCTCCATTCTCTTCTGTTTCCATGTTGATAGACCCACTAGACCCTGCTGCTACAGCTGTTTTGAGGGGAAATTCTATTTTTTTTTAAATTCTAAAGTAGCATTTGATTTGGTGCAATAATGTTGTCTGTCTAGTTTCCAGCTGGGTCCAAGAGCTACACTTAATTTGTGAGGGGGCCCTCCTTTCTGCGATGTTTGCAACACTGGGCTATAGGCCTCAGGTTGCAAGCTTGGCTAAGTGGAGACAAGTGACAAAATATGTGGCTCTGTGTCTCCTGTTCACCTTTTAGCAAGTGTGTTGAGGAGCTTGATCAGCTCTGCATTCAAGGTGTATTGCCCCACAACATAGTTTGGGCATGGTTGCCTTGGGCCCCTTCCTTCAGGCAAGAGAGGAGGCATACAGGATTTGAGAGGCCAGGTCAGCTGTACAAGGTATGCAGCCCAGAGAAGAGGAATTGCCTTATCTTCCTATTCCCAACTCTTCAGGGTGGGAGCTGGAAAAAATGGTTCCCTTCTCTCCATGAGGGGAGTGAAGTCAAAAGAGCATCCTGCCAGATGATCATGCCTGAGGCTTTATAGCCATTGCCAGCAGCCTCACCTCTGATTGATTGTGGAACTCGGTCATCTTCCCTAATTCTTCTTCCTCTGAGTTTTTTTGTGTGTGGAAGGTACTAGATCCACACAAATACTGTTGGTACCAATGAGTGGGTCCAGCTCTTCCCACTCCTGCTACCTCTGTAAGTCCCCTTTCCCCTTGGAGTCCTTACTCCTGTCATGCCTTATCCTAGCATCAGGGGAAAGGGATGCATATAGTTCTTCAGGTCCTCTGCTCTAGTGAGAAGAGCTAGGGAGCCCATCCTTAAATGTGGTGATGTTACTTTTCATGAGAGACCCAGAAGGCTACCCATATTGAGGGAAGTCAAATGGCCTATATTTTCTCAAGGACAAGGAAAGCGGTGGCTTTCTACAATATTTTTGGAGTAAACTCCTTGGGCGCCTAGGTGCTCCAGTGCACTAGAATTGCAGTGCGTCAGAGCAGACTCGATTAATTGACTCTGTTGGAGTGTGGCAATTGCCATGCTCCAGCAGCCTCCTGCGTCTCGTGTATCAGTGTCCCCACACTTAAAAATGGCAGCAGGGTGCTCGAACTAAAGCTTGTCAAATGAGCTTTAGTTTGTGTCCTCACCACCATTTTTAAACATGGGGATGCTGATACAGGATATGTGGCAGTGCTGAGAGCCACTCTAATTAAAGCATTCCCCCTGCCCCAAAGTACGTGTAAAAAAAAAAAATAAATAAATAAATAAACAAATTTAAAAAATGCCCCTTTAAGCCTAATTTCATCCTTCTCCCCAGTGATTATAGGGACAAACTAATAAAATCAAC